AGTTTTTGGGTCACTTGCGTATCTTCTTGTGCAGCTTCCGGTGTCGGTTAACAAACCGTCCCAATCAACCCGAAGATCATCTCTTCCGTTGCCCACAAGAACTCCGAAAAACCCGGGCCCACCTTGCAAACCAAGCACCGGGCTGCTGCTGCTTCACGGTCCGAACTCTCTGGACGTTTCGGTGAATGCCCCAAGAATCGACAGAATGGTGGAGTTTCACGACTGCTCAACGACCCCAAAAGACAAAAACACTGTTCACGACAACCCTCCGGTCGAGGAGGAGGTGGGATGTGGGTCCAGGAGCAGGAGTCCTACAAATTGCAGCAGGTTCGACACGTCTTCTTACAGGCAACGGGCGGAAGCTCTGGAAGGGCTGCTGGAGTTCAGCGCGCAGCTGCTGCAGCAAGAACGGATAGAAGAACTGTCCGTTCTGCTCAAGCCTTTCGGGCTGGAAAAGGTCTCTCCCCGGGAGACTGCCATTTGGCTCACAAAGAGTTTCAAGGAGAATGCCGCTTAATTAATTATTAATCCGTAATTAATTAACCTTTTTTAATTTTTTGTTTCTTGCTTTGTATTGACGACACCATTGACGAAAAGAAGAGTACATGAACCACTTGTTCATGGAAAACCAATGGAGAAGGAAGTATGTTATACAGTACAAAGACACATTTCTCCAATTTAATTGTGCTTATTAATTAATGGTTTTTTTTCTTAAATTTATATTTTTGAACATTTCTTTGAATGAGGAAACGTGATTTTCCTTTGGGTTCATGTGCTTGTGAACTTTGATGTTTTGTTATGGTCATGTGTGTCATATTATCGTTAGTGAAAGGGAATTGATATTGGCACTCGGTGTATTAGTAGTGACACTCTACATTTTTAGTTTTTAAAAAAATGGACAACATTACCCTTCTAACCATATTTTGACAACATTAACAAGTTGACATTACCCTCCTACTAGATTTTTTTTTTTAAATTTTAAAGGCTATAGCTATTAGTTCATCCATTCCACCCTCACACTTTCTAAGTAGTGAAATTTGCACTAAATAGGACTAAAACATAATGACTTTTCTAATGTTAGGACTTAAACTTTTTTATTCCTTAAATAGGACTTAATAATGATCTAGTGAGAGAAATAATGTCTTGTAATGTTAGACATTTACTTGAATAATGACTACTTGATAATGACCAAAAGTCCTACATTGGGAAAATAAAAACATATGGTCATATATTGGAAAAATCATTATGTTTTAGTCCTATTTAGGTAAATTTCTCTTCTAAGTATTATACGGAGTACCAAAATGCATTATTTCAATATTTATTTTTTTTCATTCTACAAATTTATTTTATTAGTATTTGAAAAAGAAGATCACGTATGTTTATTTCTTTAAACAAATATTCATATAATTTTTTAAAAATAATCACCATTTTTCCTTTTTATTACTTTTTAAAAACAAAGGCTTAGGTAAATGTCAATAAATGTGTATCATCATTAAAACTACAACTATTTTAAAAAAAGATATATACTCGTATCTATTAATTGAAAAAATATTTATATAATGCATACCGTATATTTGTTATACAATTAAAATAAATATTAAATTTCATTAAGTAAAATTTTAATTCAAAATAAGATTTTATCAAAATATTCAAAATTTTAGAGACTAGACCAGTTTCATACTAGGTAGATTTTTCAAAGAAAAAACAGGAGACAAAACTAGGTTTCAAAACTTAATTTTGGTGGTGAGTCGTATCAAAAAAATTATACTTCGTGCAAAGCTTTGTTTTGAAAAAACAAACACATAATCATCGTTTCCGAATACTAATAAAATAATTATATAGATTGAAACATTAAAATGGTGAACTGTATTTTGGCAGTTCCTCCGTTTTAAAAAATAAATCCATCTCCCCTTTTTATACCCCCCACAAAAAAAAATTACACCTAAAATATCTAAAATACTCCTAAAATAATTTTTACACTCAATAAAGGAGATATGAGGTGTATTTTGCACATTTTAGGTAAGACTATATAAGCAAAAGTTTCAGTGTGTTACATACTCCCTCCGTCCCGTTTTAAATCGTCTGTTTTGACTTTTGGGCATATTTAAGGAAAAGAAAAAATAGAATTGATTTTCTAAAATTACCATTACTTTTTAGGAGGGTGACGATGAATAAGAAGATAATGTGAAGAAGAGTAACTTATTTTAGAGGTAGTTTAGGTATTTCATTTTTATTAGTTTATGAAAACAACTACAACTTATTTTTGGACGGAGAAAAAAGACAAACCGACAATTTAAAATGAGACTGAGGGAGTAATAAATAAAAGTGCAACCATTTTTTAAACTAAAAATAGGTTAATATTTCAAAAATGAGAGGGTGAAATTGATAAAGCTAATACCGAGTAGGCGAGTAGCTTTTCTCTAACATATCTTGTAGGCTAATAAGAATAAAAGTTTCTTGTTAGAGGGGGCAATGTTGTCCATTTTGTTTTAAAGTAAGAATGGGGAGTGCCAATATCAATTGCCTTAGTGAAATTGTAAGATCGAAAATGGTATAGAAGGGTGAAATAACATGGAGTATTTGTTTCATCTAAACAAATTTTAACAAAACTTTTCATAAAATTCGTAAAAATCAAACAGTAAAAAGAATTTGATACGATTTTTATAAAGCAAAGAATGATTTAATGGTGATTGAATACTTCTTCCGTTCATTAATTTCTTTCTCATTTTTCTTTTTGGATCTTCCAAAATTTTTTATCATGTTTCCTATTTTAGTAACGAAAAGCAAAAACTGAGAGAGGAAGTGTTCTAATTAACAAAGGAAATTGAAAAAGAAAATATTTTTGAGAGGAATGAAAATACTCCGAAGGAAAATCACCCCGCCCGACCCGAACACCCCCTTCAATTGCACCCAACAAGTTGAAGGGGGTTGAGGGGTTTGCTTGGGTCGAGGCGGGGTATGAGGGTTTATCGGGGGGTTAGGGGGGGTAGGAACCGTCAATTTTACGAACATGGCACCGGAGCGCCCTGGGTCATACGGAGTATGAGATAATTAATGTTGGGCTTTGTTGGCATTTAATTTTATTTTCCGTTTTTATTTTTTCATATACCTTTTAATATTCTTTCTTTTTCTCTATTTTTGCGTGGAAAAAGGAAAAAAAATTACTCCCTATTTCCTTAAGGGGCAGGCGTTTAGAAAATTTGACACATTTTAAGAGTCATGATAAAGAATAGTCCAAACTTTAAGATTTCTTGGTCAAAAATCAAAAGTAGAAACACCATCATACCCCTGAGACCTAAAGTTAAACTTATTTTTAACTTCTTATGTAATTAAATGCATTTATTGTTTTCCTACCAAAACAAACCTTTTATTTTGCAGATTTTTTATTAATTACTTAATTAAACTTACATATTTCAAAACAAAAAAAAATTGAACCATAATATATTGGGCAAGGTTCCCATGACATTGTCGGCTGACATTGTCCGAAAATGTCATTGGATAACCCGGGGATTCTCCGGTACCCCGTTCGTAAAATTGATGGTTCCTACCCCTCTAGCCCTCCGGTAAACCCCCTCACCCCGCCCGACCCAAACACCCCCCCCCCCCCCTTCAATTGCACCCAACAAGTTGAAGGGGGTTGAGGGGTTTGCTTGGGTCGAGGCGGGGTATGAGGGTTTACCGGGGGGTTAGGGGGGTAGGAACCGTCAATTTTACGAACATGGCACCGGAGCGCCCTGGGTCATTCCATGACATTGAACCTTGGTGTAATATATTTAGTAGCACTATTAAGGGATCTTTTCTTGAAATAAATTTCAATATTGTTTATTTATTATCATATAGTTTTATTTAATTCAGTTTGATATGTTTTTGGGCGTAAATTAAAATCATCACTCTAGTTTACTTTTTTTCCCTAAAAAAAAATACTTAAGTGTCTGTATAACATTGTTGTACTATACATTAAGTGACCAAAAATTGTTAATTTGAAAACATTCCCTTCATTTTCAAATAAATGTCCTTAAAAGTAATTTTCATCGAATAAAAAAAAACTTCTTAATCTATCTATGCTCGCTAATATCATTTATGCTCATTCTCGCCATACTTCTTTTACACACTATAAATAAGTGAAATAGATCAATTAAAACTTAAAAGCAAAAATATTGCTCAGAATGTTAAAGAAAACAAAATGATCCTAAAATGTTTACTTTATTATGTTAAAGATTTAATAAAGTCAAATATTTGGGACTAATGGAGTAATTGTAACGAGGGTAGTGTAAATACAAATACAATTCTTACTTTATGAAAAAATTAATAGTTACATTGAATACAATATTTTTTTCCTTTGGGAGGAGTTATTAATATAAAAACAAAAGATAGACTTAAATTTGATTCCTTCAAACACTCTCTATTCATTTTTTGTCGAGAGTTAGGGTCATCATTTTTTTGACACATTCTTTAATTAACTTATTTCTTTCACACCACTTTAACATGTTGTTTTATCATTTTCAAAAAATTATATACTAACATTGTTTAGATTTAATATTTTGATAATTAAGTTTCCCAATGGAAAACTTATATACTCCGTATGTAGTTCTTTCTATTTTCTAACAAGTATTTCCTCTGTTTTACTCCCTCCGTCCCATAAAATATTTCTTGTTTCAAAAATGACACGTATTTAAAATGAGTAATTTTAATGTTATTTTTTAATTATAAATAATCTATTCTACACATCTCATCCTATTCTTTTATAAAGTAAGGGCAAAATTAGAAAATAACACCAAAATTACTCATTTTAAGGGCGCACTTTTTTTGAAACATGAAATGTTTTATGGGACGGAGGGAGTATATTTTTTTTTCTCATTTGTTTTTTTTCACTGCATCTAACGCAGCAAATTGACAATTACGGAGTAACATTTTATTTTTATATACATAGATTATATCCGTCAAAATGAATAAATTTATACGAAATTTATATCATTAAACAATATATTTTATTAATTACCGATTAATATCTTTTTTTATAATTTATAATTAAAATTTAAAATCATTAATGGCAAAAATAAAAAAAATGAGAAGAAAAAAAGAATGGGCAGACCCATTGCTTTTCCGTTCTTTCTTTTCACACTCCGCATTTATAAATAAGTCATCGGATCCTGAAACACAAGGATCAGAAATGGATTCCAGGTGGCGGGAGAGGGGCCAACCCGACGGCGTTAAGCTGCCGGAAAGCCCAGTGAAGCCCATAGAGTATCTGCCCAGATCACGGAGCGCCGCCTCCGCTATGCAACAGGTCTGCAACGCCTTACCTTCTCCCCCTGCTCCGGCCAATTCCTCCCTGTTTCCCAAGGTCACTCCGGTGGCCCCCGCCGACGGCGACGCCGACACGGCGAGGCTCTCCGGGAACACATTCTCCTTCCGCGATTTGTCCTCAACCTCCCATCTCGTCCTTGAGCGCATCATGTCACAATCCGTAAGTTTTTTTTTAACAAGCTATAGTCAAAATTTATATAAAATTTGACAAAAAAAAAATCAAACTTTTTTTTATGAGAGGCAAGAAATAATTCATTCTACTCATGAATTGTATCAATTAGAATATTTTTTATTTATAAAATTCATCATGACCAGATGCAGAATGAGATAATGTCGCCGTTAACGTCGGGGAGGCTGTCTTACGGCAGCGAAACATTTAACGGTTCAATGACGGAAGAAACGGATAGCGCAACTCCAATCTCTCCCTCCGAGGAGTTTGAAGATGTCATTAAGGTAATTAGTCCTCCCTCTAGAAATATTCTTCCCATTTTCCTTTTTGTCCGTCCAGAAATATTTTTCACATTTCCTTTTTTAGTACTCCCTCCGTCCCGTGAAACATTTCCCCTTTCTTTTTTTATCCGTCCCACAAAACACTTCTCATTTCCATTAAAATGTCACTTTTACCCCTTACTTTTTCATACCCTAACTATCACATCATACCTTTTTACTAATAATCTATCCATCAAATCATACTTTTACCCATCACATCAAAGGACATTTTTGGAAATTCAATACCAAAATACACTCCCTTAAATCCCTCCTAAAAAGCAAATGTCCCATGTTTCACGGGACGGAGGGAGTATATTTTTAAGGATAAATTTCAAGAAACATTCGTCTCTATTGTTTACGAATCCCAAAAAACATTCGTCTCTATTGTTTTAGGTCAAATTATTACCCAGTACTCCCTCTGTGATCCCTGAAGTATCCTTATTTTATGCAAATTATTAAAATACTTCTTCCGTCCAAAATTATTTGTCACATTTCTATTACCGAGGCAAAATATCAAGTTTTTTTAATTCATTTTATTTACATATTGGTAAAGAAATAAAAAATAAAAATTACATATCAAAAAATTACATGAAAAGTTCTTCGAAATAAGAGGTGTCAAGAATATTTTATTTTATCAAATAACCAATGAAAACGTCGATATAAATAAAAGTTCCCGCGACTGCTGAAAAAGCAAATGTTGTGAATATTTAGGGACGGAGGGAGTACTATGTTTTTTTCCAGTTTATCTCATATAAAAATTAGTATATAAATAAAAACTGAAATTTACATATTTAAAACTATGGAGTACAACAAAAGTTATTGTACAAAATAAAATGTGAAAAAATACTTTATTTAATCAAATAATCAATGAAAAATGAACAAATTAAATCAAGAGTTTGTAGCCCACTTTGAGTGTTTTTATATTTATCCATCGATAAAATAAAAGAAATCTCTCCGTCAATTTAATAATTTTATTTTCGAAATAAAAATGCATTCAAAGTGGGCTACAAAATGGGTTTGAAGATGGGGTTCATCCTTTTCTTTTGTAAAAATCAAATTTTCATTAAAGTTTTACAAAAAACTTGTTTGGCATTAACATTAGAGATTAACTTTACCATTTTGAAAATGTTATCTGACAGTAGCATTTAGCATTAACATTTTTAGAATTTAATCAAAAACATTGTTCCCAAACAAAGTCTAAATATAGGGTTACATTTAATTTATAGGGTTAAATTCCGACCATTTTTATACTCATTTTCTAAATTATGTTGGCTCGTCAAGGGTCTTTAAAACACTAGTCAAAATTATGTTGGATCAATCTCCCAAAAAAAAAGTGAATCTGCACAGTTTTTTTATTAAACATGAGATCATCGACGATTGATATTGGATAAATCGAAAAGGACGACAATGATTTTGATCGACGAGAGCTCTTTATTTTTTTTTATCCTTTTCTTGGGATCAGAGCACTTTATTCTTTTTATTGCCCGAAATTCCACCAATACCATTTTTTATTTTATTATAATTATTACGCCGTACATTTTTTGGATTAAATCGTCTGTTATTTATTTGCGATTTTGACAAAAGTTAGATTCAAATTATTTTATATAAAAAGCGGCGTAAAAATTAAAAAAAAATTATATTAAAATATCTATAAAACTAGTAGTGACATGTATATTACTTTATCAAATGACTATTAAAAATAAAAAAAAAGTTAAAAAAATTGATCATGTAAATAATAAACAGAACACTTAATTTGAGACGGAGGGAGTATAAATTAAATACTCCGTATTTGAGTGTCAAAGATAAATGTCTCCAAAATAGTTGTGTTCTCATTCCATTCAATTGTCATTAATTATCCAAGATGAATAGTTTTCATTATTTATGTAATCCTTCCATACCAAAAAGATTGTTGCACTTCACTGTTCAAAAATCATGAAAACTTTTGTTTAATTTCACTTTTTCATTGATTATCTGATCAAATAAAATAGTTTATCACCTCTTGTTTTGTAAAATTTTTGACATAATTTTTTAGTATGTAAGTTTTTTTATTAATATACTAATCTATAAATAAAATAAATTCAAAAATTCAAAAATTGCTTTGTTTAATGCAATGTTCTAATCTTTTTGAAACAGATAAGTATTTATTTAGGGAGTGTCTTTTTAGCTTGGAGTTTAGTGAAAGTGTGTGTGCAATAGTTTAATCCAAAGGTGAGGGGATCAAAAGCTGAGTGAAAACTCCATTCTAAAGCTGCGGGCGCCATTGCATTGCATGATCCAAAGTTGACTGAAAACTACAAAGCATTTTGGCCTAAAAAGAATTAAACACACATTTACTTTTTTTTTAAAAAAAAAAACCATGAATGTTTTTACAGAAATAAGTTTATAAAAAAAATAAAAATAAAATAAATATTATTTTTGTTTATATTACGGAGTACAAGTTTATTGTTTTTATACGGATTGTAAGTCCATTTAGGAATTTTCCACTTTTATTCTTAAGCTTTTTATTACTCCGTATTTCTTTATTATTATTATTATTATTATTATTATTATTATTATTATTATTATTATTATTACACCAATGTCCCCATGCTTTACCCTTTCTAATATTCCCTTCGCCTTTTGACTTGCTTTACTTGATCCATCAAAAAACATGTTTGTATTGTAACTTTGAATTAATCCAAGGGCAATAGGGAGGGACTATTTTCTTTGGCTTTTTTTTATGCGTGAAAAAGAGAAGGATGATCATAGATTATGAGCCTCAAGAAGTAAAGTTATTTTTCAAGGAATACAAAAAAAAAAAGATTATAAACTCCAGGAAATAAAGGTTTTGTTTTTTAAAGGATCGGAATACAAATAAAAAAGAGATAAAGTGAGACAATCAAACCTTTAGAAAGGATGAGATAGAAATTGCAATGAATTTTAAAACATACTGCAATTTGCGTATTTAGAATTTAGACCAAAACATCTACAAAATAGGATAAGATACCCATTGTTTTTTTTATTAAATTATACTCCCTATCCGAGATGAAAATGTATAAAGAAATAAGAAAAAAATTTGGTTGTATAAAGTGTAGTAGTAATGAATCAAATGAAACATAGCCAGTAAGTAAATTCCAAATTATGTTTACTGAACTGATGAAATTGGAATTAAATAAATTGAGAGTTGAAATTATATGAAATTGATTTGGATGAAATTAAGTTCTCCATTTCCAATCCATTTTTGGCACTACCAATTTCAAATCTACATATTTTTGTGCTACAAAACAGTACAATTAAAATTATCATCTCCAATTTCGTAGTTTGAATACCGCGAGGGTATTTGGAATTTATCAATTCACTTGTGACAATAATTTGTAAGTACTCCATATCATTTCATGTGTTCTAAGAGTGTCAAAAGAACCTGGTTGCAAGGGAAGTGACTTGATTTTTTGACACTTGCTACTAGTGTCATAACAAACACCATTCCTGTCGGACAAGGGGATGGGGACGCCGGGCGATTCCACCTTTTTGGACCGATAACAAACAACTACCGCCCAAAACAAAACCCAAAAGTCCAAAACAAACATCCGAGTTCTTTTTTGAAACAACAAACATTTCCATTACTAAGCACCCAAATTCTAAAACCGATTTAAAACAGTACTAAAGCTCACATTTGTTCATGCCAGTACCTGAGAGCAAACAACTCCCTGCTACCGCTGTTCACAAACACGAAGAGCTTCAATGGCGGCACCGGCACCGGCAGCGGCGGGGCCAGCAGTCCCATGCTTGGGAATAACAACACCGTAAAGAAGTGGCTTAAGCATAGAAGGAACAAGAAGAAGGAGGAGGCCAGAGCGCGGAACGCACAGATCCACGCCGCGGTCTCCGTCGCCGGACTGGCCGCCTCGGTGGCCGCCGTCGCCGCTAGTACGGCGGCCGCATCTTCCGCCGGAGAAGATGAAGTGGCGGCCAAGACAGACATCGCCGTGGCTTCAGCGGCGATGCTGGTGGCCGCGCAATGCGTGGACGCCGCGGAAGCTATGGGAGCGGACCGGGACCGCCTCATGACCTCAGTTAACTCCGCCTTTAACGTCCAATCCCACGAGGATATCTCCACCCTCACGGCTGCGGCTTCCACCGGTAAGGTTGCATATACTAAATAAAAAATTTATTGTTTATTATTATAGAAATAATTTCATTAGATAAATCTTGTTAAAAACTTTATTTGTAACTATATTTATACACATATTTCAGCACTTAGGGGAGCAGCTACTCTGAAGGCAAGGGCATTGAAGGAAGTTTGGAACATTTCAACAGTGATTCCCATAGACAGGGGAAATGGAATGGGAACACCAGGCGGATACAACAACAATGGCTGCTACGAAGGACTCGACATCGAAGAGAACTTCCTTGGAGTCTGCAACCAAGAACTGTTGGCCCGAGGTTGCGAGCTTCTAAAGAGAACCCGCAACGGTAAACAAGTGAACTCTTAAGGTTTCACAATAATAGCAACAACAAAGAAACCACTTGGTTTGACATACATGGGTTGTTTGTTTATGTGGTCCAGGTGATCTTCATTGGAAAGTTGTGTCTGTTTACATTCATCGTACCGGGAAGGTGATGTTGAAGATGAAGAGCAAACATGTGGGAAACACCATCACCAAAAGGAAAGAAAGTAAGGCCTCATTTGGAAGTCGCATTTTCAATTAACCTTGAAGCTAAAAGTTGGTGTCTGATGCATAGTATTTTCAAAATACTAAAACTAAACGCTGAAACTGTTGCCAAACGGGAGTGCAATGCAAAAACTAAAAGTAAAACATGATTTTGTTGCCAAGAGTGAAAAACTGTTAAATTTTGCTTTGTTTTTATTACTAAGTATCAATTTTGAGGTTCATGTGTACATGTGAAATGCAGATGTAGTATTGGAAGTGTACAAAGATATTCCGGCATGGCCGGGGAGGCACCTGTTTGACGACGGAGTGCAACGCAGATACTTTGGGTTGAGGACGGAGGTGCGCGGCGTGGTTGAGTTTGAATGCAAGGACTTGAAGCAATATGAGATGTGGACTCAAGGCGTCTCGAGACTTCTCTATATCGTCGCTGAAAGGAGGAGGAGATTCCACAATTAAATACAATATATATATATATATATACATACATACATACTGTATTTAACAAAACATAAAGATCACAGAAATTAGGAAGGGGAAAGGAGATATATATGGTGGATGATGATACTTTGTCACTTATGTAATGCAATGTGGAGAAGCCAAGTATGGAACTATTCTAACAAAAAAAGAATACCTTTAGAACTTAATTAGAAGGCATCACAGTGTAAACAAAAGATATAGTACTGAATTAAATGTAAGAGAGAATCATCTCCTTGGCCTCAGCTTGCCTTATTGAATACATATATTCTCATACTCCGTATATGTTTATAGTATCGGCGTGAAATGGAGGAATAAAACCATTTGGTTGAAATATCGATCATCTATCTTCTTCAACCAAATGGTTTTTATCCCTCCATATATAGAGAGAGTTCAATTCTAGTGTTATACTACCAGCGTTCAGGTTGATGGGGACGATGGCGCCTAAGTGTTTTGTGAAATAGGAATGTGTCATCAATACCAAAAAGTAAAATCAAGTATCAAACAATGGTTAATCAACTACTAGTATTTCTTCGGTCTTAAAATCTTTCCGCTTTGACTTTTCATTTGTCGTCCCAAAATATACTTCAACTTTTGGTATACAAGACCCATTTGCCCTTACTATTGCTTGTTGTTCCTTTGATGAGATGGTTCCCTAAAGACTAAGGGTCTGTTTGGTTGGGGGGAAAGGAAAGAGGGGAGGGATGAAAGGGAATGGGAGGGGAGGGGAAGGAAAGGCCTCAAAATTTTTCAAAAGAGAAATTGCGATCTAAACTCGGCTTTAAAGTTGCTATTCCTCTCTGTCTACTGTCTACCGTCGTTCTTAGTCAGGATTTTCAATTGTTATCCCTTTAGACTATGTTTGGTTCAAGGAACTCGAAAAAAAAAAGTTTTCTCTCATTTTCCTCACCAAAATGGGAGGAATTTGATTTTCCCTCCTCTTGTTGTATTTTGTCTTCTCATTTCTTTTTATTTCAATTTTTCTTTTCTTTTCCTCTATATCCAAAAAAGAAAAACTATCTTCCATCTCGTTTTCTTTTCTTTTCCATTTCAAATTCCTCGAACATGACATAGTGTTAATAATTGAAATTGCAATATGAACTCAGTGCTGGTGGGTGTTTATTACCAGTACTACACTGTGCTGTGTATTCAAAGTGTAGGTTTACAAAAATAATGGGCTAATCTTTGACGTGTTACACTTGCACCAATTTCCATGGAGATGTGTTACTCTTGGTTTTGTAAGAAGCTTTGAGGAAGAAGTCGAAAATCAGCAGGGGGTAGCAAAGGGAGACAGGGAGAACAGAGATGGAGTAGGAGACAAAGAAAAGAAGGGGAAGAAGAAAGATTCAAAGAAAGACGGGGAGAAATTAAAAACAGATTCGGTCCTATTCAGCGGGCTTGAAATCAAAGGGAGGGGAGGGTATTGGAGGTGAAATTTTGGCTCCCCTCCCCTCCAATTTTTTAAACCAAACAGAGGAGGAATATACACCCCTTAAGCATGGAAAAAGTCAACACTGGAAATGTTTTTAGAGATCGAAGTGTTGGCCGACACACGTGAAGAAGATGCGAGTTATGGAGATTACAAGTACCTAACAGCTAGTGATTAAGGTACTAACAGCTAACTTGTGTCTTTTGTGCTCAAACCAGGAGCTCGCAAGTCTGTGTATTCAAGACATACACCTCTCTAGAGGGATTTTAATAGGCATGAAGAAAAAAAAAAGGCATGGAGGAGTTTAAAGGGTATATATGCTGCAGTTCACAAAAATTAAAGATTTACACCCGAAGTAAGATTCTTGGGACAGCTGATATATATTGAAAAAGCAATTTCATCACATTTCTCCTCTACCAAACACACTGTAAACAAGCTTTCATACCATATAGTGACTTGTATTAAAGAGGGCAAAAAGCACGGAGAGTGGAAAGGGAGGAATCGAACCGGGAATCATACAAATATTCCAGTGCATACAACTATACAATTCATTGTTATATTTGCCAACAGCAGTCCAAATGATTCATTATGATAATTGAAAAATAAGAGAACGGAAGAAGAGAACTAACTGCACTCTCTTCAATTATCAGCAGCCCTGAAAATGGTCAAGAGTGATACGAATAGGTTGATGACATCCAGGTAGAGTGCAACAGCAGCCCATATGTATTCATCGTAAGAGTAGCGCTTGATAAGGTTGTCCGTGTCATACACGATGTACCCACAGAATATGATTGATGCCAGACCCCCATAGATCATCACTGTGATCTTCCCCATAGGAAAGAACAGCTGCAGAACAAAAGCATGGGCATGTTAAGCTTTACTTGTTCAATCATTAAGTTAGATCAACAGATGAAATGGGGGGAACACAATGCAACCTGGATCATCGAAAACAAGAATAGCACCACGATTGCACCAAACAGGAAGGGTCCTAGAAAACTAAAATCATAGCCTCTCTTCGCTGCCCAGAACGTATATAAAGTAAGAGCAACCACAACTGCTGCTGTCAAAATGGCTGATTCTAGGATCACTTTCCCTGTTACCAATCAAGCAAGGATTAATATTCCGATCTTTTAACAAATTCCCTTCTAAAGTCACAGATACCAACCACCAATCAACATGCAAACTTGGAACAAAATACGAAATTAATATTGATTTATAATAGGATAGATATAAGTCATATAACAACCCAATCGAATACCACGATAGTAGGGTCTGGGGAGGGTGTGTGTATGCAGAACTTTCCCCTACTAGAAAGTAGGGAGGATGTTTCCAAGAGACCCTACCTCAATTAATAAGAAAATCACAGATAGCAAAAAAGTAATACAGGTGCAAAACGCAATTTCCTTAAAATGTTTGATGAGAGTTAATGTTTAACACACATGCAATGTCAAAGGTTGATAAAAAAAGATGTTGCATTTAGTTGAGTATATAATTACAGACTATGTATGATTGGTGTGGCATTGCACCTAGGTTAAATGAAATTATCAAGAAAAAGATTTGTAGTTTGATATAGAATGGGAATATCCCCTTTCCCTCCCAATTTTTTATTTTGGCAAGTCCCAATTTATAGTGCTTGTTTCCATTTATAAAAAGCACAATTTAGTTCATATCGTATCTCTCACCTCTACATAAATCTCAAGCACACACAGTTTCCACTTTCTTAATCGCCATTATTATAAAAATACATGAGCACAAGTTGGGACGACAAAGTGAGTAATTCTTTTTGAAAAAGTAGATGAGAAAAATCTTCTTGTAGGATTCCATTCAATCTACGTTTCATTAACTGTTTCAATTAATTTATCTTCAATGTTTCTAATATCTCCATCACATCTATTCCAATCATCTCTAGTGTCATTTTCATCATCTCTAACTTTGCCTCCGTTCTAAATTTTCACTCCTGTAGTTTCAAAGACACTCAAAGTTTATCTAACAAACTACATTTTCTTTTATTTGTACCAACCATGCACAAATCCTATCTGGTATATCTTCAAAAGGAATGAACAAGAAGTTCTAATTCCATTGCAGAAACAATTCGCACATTCAAAAAATACTAGCATGAAACGGACACCAAGAAAGAACAAAAAAAGAGTTGCTCACCACTAGTGTATGCACAGGTCAATCCGACTGAGAAGGAAATAGCCACCGTGAAAATGCCTAGCAGGACATAGTTGTACGGATGCCTCTGGTGATAGTAATACAAGGGGCAGAGCACTGCAGGAGGCAGCCGGCGATTAGTTTAAACAGGATGAAAACCATTAACCCTAACTGAAATCGCAGAAATCAAATCAAAGGCGAAGCACATATATATACTACGGAGTACCTATGAAAGGCGTGATGATGAGAACAATGTAGAGAGCCAAGCCGGCGGGAGTAGTTGTAAAGAAGCGCGAAATATGGTGATTAGAGACGACGACAGCGCCGACGGCGACGGACAGCAGCAACTGGATAGCTACAATCGAGTACACTTTCCGAATAAACGACCACCGGAGTTCCGGACTCTCTATCATCGTCGGATATAACGGAGCCCTGCCGGCCTCCGGATCGTTTTTCACGTTAGCGTTCCACATCTCTTCCGATCACACACAGAAACTCCTCCGATCGATCGCAGAGAGCACCTAAATATTCCTTGCTTTCTTCTTCAACTTGCGCGCAGATTACTTCTTCTTCTTCTTCTTCGATTGATCGCCGAATATTTTTGGCGTGGAAGCGCGTATAAAGTTTGTTGATGAGGGTAAGCAACGGCAGGTGGGTTCGATGGGTTTGGGATAAAAGCGGCGAATGAAGCTTCGAGATGAATCGAGGCACGTGACTAGATGGATTTGCACGTGGGGAAACTCCTCCCCCTAGATCTCTCTCGTCTCTATGAAAACCTTCTCAAACCTTCTTTTTCTATGCTTACTTTTTTTAATGTCTAGTATAAAATCATCTGTATTGTCATTCATAAAAACATGAGTAATGATTTTTAACATTCTCTGTTCAGGTTATATGATTTTCATAGATTTTAAAAAAGTAAAATTATTTGATTGGAATTGATACAGAGAAAATAAAAAATATTATGAACCACACATTTTATTTCTTAAAAAGAATGAGAGTTTTATTTTCGAACAACCAAAAAATGATTTTGGGACGGAGGAAGTATATGATTTCATTTTCTTTTTTTCTTTTACTCCGTAACAAAAAGGGAAGTGATGTCTTTAGGGACTCAAAAGAATGTTGAAAATTTAACCGAAGGGATAAACAAAGGTTTCTTTAAGACAAGTTCTTTTGTAGGCTTTAAATTCTTGCTCATTTTATAAATCTTCATGCATAAAATGATTTTATGTATTGAGCTTTATAAAAAGAATGAAATCCAACTATATATGTATGGAAGACATGCAAGAAGAATGTGGAGCTTAGGACCACAATAACATAATTCTTCCTTTGAAAGGCATAAACAAGCTATATGATTTTTTTTTTGCTCTGAGTTATATATTGTTAATTGACAACCACTAATTGCTATTAACATTACAGATTCATATTGCAAAGGAACTTTTGAACCTTTCCAGGAGCAGCAGCTCAATTCTGGGCATGTTTTGAGAAATATGGATGCTTCAGAGCTTCATCCACACTGGGGCGATCCTCCTACATTCATTCCAATATAATGCATTTATTGTTAATTCCAGCCAGTACATATATACCATCTCTCTATCTACATTTACTTGTCCACCTTTAGAAAAAACACTTCTTATTTGAGGAAGAGTTCAAGTGAGTCCATTAAATAAGTTTTGGTACTAAATTTCAAAATTGGACAAATAATTCCGGGCTAACTCACAGGATCCCAACGCAGCAGTTGGCGCACCAATCGCAACGCCCATATGTTTGGAAATCTGCAAACCACGCAAATCGAGTACACAAGAAGAAGATGATAAAGAACTGCAGGATTATGAGATCATTGATTGCATTTATTTAAACTCTACTCACCCGATTTTTAGAGGATCTCTGTTTCTAATTTGATGCAAGAAGAACTCTTCAGAACATTTCCATGGAGCCGGCGAAATAGAGCCCTAGAAGATTATTATAGTGCAACCAAACTCTGATTAATACAATTTAATTTAATTTAATTTCATTGCCTTTGCTCATGAATGTAAAACTGAAGTGGAATATATTTTTTTTAAATTGTGAGTTAAAGAGTGAATACACACACACACACACAAGCACGAGCACGCCCATTCGTCTCTCACAAACTAAAATTGTTGAACTTAGTCACTTACAGGGTCATTTGTAGCCCTAGAGTGACGAGCCTTTGAAGAACTCCCAGGGATCAGGATACACAATTCCATGAATGATCTCAGTCTGTTCAAGATCAAATTACATGGTGATCAAAGTCTCACATTTCTAAAAAAGGATAACTGTCAAGTTGAAGAGATAAAGCTAAAGTTATAAAAGGAAGTATTTAGGGTGCAAATTTAGCATCAGTAACAATATATACAAATTGCTGAGAAATTAGATGAGAAAATGTTACTCCGGATGTGCAACTGTTTGAACTTTGAAGTATATGCATAAGAAAAGTAGAGATTTTGGTGTATCCAACTGGTAGAGATTTAAAAAGAGTCTTGGTTGGTCGAATATGACATATATAGAGGGTGTCAAAAGAAGACATTATGGCATCAAGAACACATGGTGCGAGCCATAAGGAGTAGAAACAGAAGCTATTAGTGGATGACCTCAATAGATTATCCATTGGTTTACGTAGAAGAACCAGGTGATTTCACTTAAGAATGGTTGTTGTTGGTGTTGTACTCCAAACTTACTTAAAGGCGAGCTCCTTTAAGCTTTCACTCCAACCTTCTAGGTGTTGATCCAAAAGAGCACGCGTCCTAGAACTTATGTGGAACACATTAGGTGACCCAAGTATTAGTTCCAGCATCACAACCCCAACACTCCACATATCGTACCTGTCCAACATGGGTAACACTTAAAAATAAGCCACACAAGTCACTGTGAGGGAGTTCATAAAAAATATTATCTGACTTTATTCACCTTGTTTTATTTGGTGAGGGGAGGGAGAAGATATCATAACACTGTTTTTCATATAACAAATTAGAGCTTGAAGACGAATTGGAGTATATTACACATTGGGAAACTAACCTGTAGTAGGAACTAGGTTTCTTACCGTATTCCTTTTCCCTGGAATGAGTTTGAGATTTATAAGAAGTTACTTTTGATCTTCATACACAAGATTTTACTTAACGGTGGTATTTATGCCTGATGAAAGTGCATCATTCATTACTCAATACCTATGTCGCTATGATTTGTCTCAATACATAAACATGAGATTGTGCAAGCCTAAAATTCTAGTTTCAAATGTAACTTGCAGCCTGGACCCTCATCTACACATTAAGACATTCCGAGTAAATTATTTGATACTCAAACATCCCCTAGCCAGTGAATATTATAGGAAGAAAGAAGACAAGATAATCAGCCAAACACAAATCCAGTAGTAGATCGTATGAAACTGACATACTTTAGATTTGTTGTAGTTGGCCCTTGGTACCAGCTGGCATTAAGAAAGGCTTCAGGTGGAGTGTATTCACCAGTTTGCTCAGCCCTGAAAGAATAGAAACATGAGTAAGTATGCAGTCACCATCACCTTAATCCAACCTATATCGGAATCAATACTTGAAATAAAAGATTAAGTGGAAAAATATTACAATGTTGGTGATTTTAAAATTTCTGCTCATTGATCAAAAGGTTGCGATATAAAAGGCATGCCGTGTAAAACATTGTCACTATTTTTTTTCATGAATGTATGGTATGCAGCTTGTTTATTAACTTTAGACAATACGAAAAATTTACAAATTCCACCAACCATGTTTGAAAAGCATGTCGGAATATAAACCTATCAACTCTCAACCTCTTTATGTCATGAAATCTTAATGATTTTAATACAACTAAAAGGAATGATATCTTAGTAAAATACCTTGACGGTCCAAGGGACCCATATAGGTGCTTCAATGTGAAGTCATCCAGCGCACTGCCAAAGTCAATAATGCGCCTAATAAATTATAGAACACACATTAAGACAAGCTAGAAGAATACAATACACGTTATTCATATATTACATGAATTTAATTTTGTGAGTAAATCAAGGATTGGTGCATAATCTAGTAGTGAATCCTGCAAGGGAATGAACTTAATTCTTTTGGAGCTCTATGGCTACTGACTAGTAGAAACATCAACAATATAATAATATTTGTCCCTTATAAATCAAGTCAGCTAGCTTTTCAGGAATTTGCAATATCGTGAGTTGCATTAGACAGACCCACACAGATCCATAAAAGCAGCACCCAAACCGTTTCCAGTTTGAGAGGAAATGTTAGTTGTGATTATGAATGATGTTGAGAAAACAATTTTTGAAAGAAAATCTGAATATGGAATTATTATGAGATTCAGCTAAAATATTCATGTATCAAAATCCTTATAAGAGTTGGCAGTATTAAAAATGCTTTGGATAGACTAAATCCATAAAAGCAGCAACCTAAACATTTTCCTATGATAGTAAATGTGTTACTCTGTACAGTATCTATGACGTAGGGAATACAAACATTATATACCCTAATGAAGCAGCTGTTGCAGCTTTAGAAAATGATATGGGAATAGAGTCATCCAATTTTAAATTTTAGCAAGGTTACAAAAATGACTAATAATCAGTAAAAGCACTATAGAAAAGACTATGTCAGTAAACCATATTGTGTTAATATATAATTTCAATTACATTTTTGTGGTATAATTATGATCTCCACTTGGATATCCTTTCAAGCATCTCCCAGAATCCTGATCTTCGAAGCAAATAACCATATTCTCTAACCATAAAGTTGAAGTTCAGGTAAATAACTGTAAGAATAAGAAAATCATTAAAGATAAAAGGAAATAAGAAAGTTATCGGATGTATGTGTGGTTCAAAGCTAGATGCTAATGGTATTCTATATTGTTTAGTGCTTATCCCTAAAAATCAAGTTTTGAATGGAATAAGAGGGATATAACGCAGCTCATCCTCATTGGATGTTCAATCACTATGCTCTAACGATCATCTTGATGTAAACCAGCAACAATAACAATCTAGACAATAAGATTCTAACCACTCACCACTTATTTTTTTCATTGCAGGTTATCACTATTTTGTGTTATATATTTATATCTTCTTAATATGCTGGAGAGCACAAGAAATCTGATCCACATGGCCACAAGTAACTATAAATGATGTATCTAGAGGTTCATACCAGGTTTAATATCTCTATGTGTGATATTCCGATCATGACAAGACTTGAGTGCAATAAGCTGAAGAAAAAGAAAAGTAAATATAATGACTATAAGGATAACTCCATAAAGATGTTGCATCTAATAGTTGAGCAAAATGGTGTTAACAACAACACCAACAACAAACATAATATAATCCCAGCTTCTTTGGACTCAGGGGGGCAAGATGCCTGCACCCTTAACCTTTTAAAAAACAAAGAAACTGCTTCCGTTATTCCCTTGATGCATTTACTTCCCAAAACTTCACAGAAAGTACTCCCTCCATCCCGATCAGTTCGACCACTTCTCTTTTTGGTTTGTCCCAAAAAGTTTGTTCTTTTTCCTTATATGACAAAGAAATAAATGCTTATATTACCATTTTACCCCTATTTTTCAAACTTAATACTCCCAATTTATTCAACCAATGGCAATTTGGTCACTACCCAATTTTAGTCCCCATTATCGGTCTTTGTGCAAAAAATGAAGCGGATAAAGTGAATGGGACGGAGGGACTAAGAAGCAAGGGAATTTTAATGTGCCTCTAAAATTTAGACTCAGTTCTTTAAAGAACTCCTTACAATCATCGGTTTGCAGTATATAGAAGCCCACCATTTAAAGATTTTACTATGTGATCTATGCATGCCAATGTCATTGAGAACAGTGTTGTTGATTGTAAGACAAAGGAAACCCATGGAATGCTAGTAGTTGGAGATTCATATACCAAACCAGGACCATAAACTACGTTGAAGGTATAAAAACTAGACCTACGAAAATTGCAACATCCCATACCAATTGCCATATAAGGATGCGCATTTCCTCTTGCCCTGCTTCTGTTGTCTTCAACCAGTGCCACCACTTGGATGGATGTAATATCTGAACATTCTTCACTTGTTCATTTCCCATTCCTTCTGAACTACTTACTACTTCTTCTGCTGTATACAAAATCTTTGACAAAGATACTCCTTCATGCTGGAACACAAGCCATATATCATTAGATCGAGACTCAAAGGATTCTACATATCTTGCAATGTGATCAAGACCTTCTTCATAGGTAGATTGCATCACTTCGTTTCTTCTTACATAAGTATTCTCAGCATTCCAAAACTCATTCAGTTTCCAACCAACTAAATTACTTTCTACTAAATGTCCACGTGGAACTGGATATGCATCTTTTGAGAAACAAGATCCTCTGGCTGACAATGGACCTCCAAGAAGAGTAGATGCATTCAAGAAAAGTTCTCCAAAATGCTTCTCTCTTAGCCCACTTAGATATACAGTAGCTCCCTTTTCAACCTTTTAACAGCAACTATTCAAGAGTTAGCACATCTCCAGAATTTCAGGGCAGAACATGACATTGATACAATGAGCTTTTGATAAAGGTTTAGCAACGTAAACATATAACTGTCATAGAATGATAGAATAAACTATAAAGTAGTCTGATTATTGATTACAGTAAACATGTTCTAAGTCCTGATGATGCATGGGCAAAGATACTTAGAACCCGTGTGCACAACATCTAATTTATATGCATCATACTAAGGTCTGTTACCAGAATCTAGGTTATGCTAGGGCACAACAAAGAAGATTCTGAAAGCATTACTTTGTTTTGAAACATGAAAGACTTCTCAACTCAATCTGATAATATGACAAAGGTGTGACAATAATATTTTCCCTTTTTTTATTGTGGAGTATGTTTTCCACATGAACTTTGGTAGAAGATGAGAAGAAATGGAAAGGACCATCTTTAGCTTGAACTCTGTGCACAAGCATCACCAGGACCAAAACTTTTATTGATAGGGGTTGATCTTCAGAAGTATTAAATAGATAACAATAATAATGAGAATAACACAAGTGAATCTCAGAATTTGTGAAAACATAATAAAAACGTTTACATTGGAATAAGAATATTAGCTAGAAGAAGAAATGAAAGGATATAATTATGTCTGACCAAACCTCTTATGTTGAAATTGAATAAAAAAAATTATTAACCACACGCTTCGAAAGCTTCTATTCCCTCTTTTCCAAAAAGACTTTTCTACTTTCCTTTTAAGACCGTCCCAAAGATGTACTTGTTTCTAGGAACAAGGTAATGGACAGAATATATGTTGAAATTATTCGAGGATTGTAAAAAGTGAGAGAAAATCACGGAATTACTATTTTGGAGATTTAGAATGTCATCCAAGTCTATTTCATCTGAGAAGGCCTAAATGATTTAAATGCTAATTTTTGGGTTTTGAGCCCTTATTTCCTTGAAAAATCAATAAATTAACTAGAGATAATTGGTGGTCCTGAAAATTTACAGAAATTACTTCATGAGCTAGAGAACTTAATGGAGGAAGAAAATTTACTAAAACTATTAGGATTATTTTCTGTAAATTTCTTAAGGATTAAAATATTAGAGAAATGATAATAATTAGAACTTTAACTTTGGCTGAGGGACATGCCTTTTCACGTACAACCTCTCACTCATTAGTCAAAACCCACTTTGCTGCTCGTCTTTATATTCATTGGCACATACTCCATCCGTTCTAAAATTACTGTTCGTTATAAACCAATATGGCTTTCCTCACGCGATAGAGTTAAATCAATGTGGACAATAATATTTCAATGCGACACTTAAAAATGGAACAGAGAGATTATATCACAGAGAAGAGAGCTAGTGCCGGCCAGAGTCCAACTTTGGAGTCAGAGAGAATGACACAAGCTATCAGGGCCGGCTTGTAGAAAGACACAGAAACACACATTAGAGTTGCCAGAGAAGGAGGGGTGCCAGTGCCGGCTTGCCCACTACTCAGTAGAATGTTAATCAAACTTAAAATTAGTAAGTACACGAAAATGATCTGAGCTAATACTCCTAATAGATATGAACTAAAATATAAACCAAACCAAACATGCCCAATTGTCCAGTAAATCCTCTAAGAAACTTAGAAGTAGGATCTCATAACTGGTGAGGGTGAGATGTATATATGCAGACATTACCTCAACCTCTATGACTCCTATGAGTAGAGAGGTTGTTTCTGTGAAGATCTAACTAGTGTTTTTTTTGTTAATTTTATTTGTTTTCAATTTTTTTATTGCGTGTCTTGCTTCACCATTGGTTTTTTACCCCATATTTCACACTACTCACCTTTAGATGTAATTGTTTCTAATGCCAAAATAGTTTTGCAAAAATTAAAAAATGACTTTTTGAAATTTTCCAACTTCTTCAATTTTTTAAATCTTCCAAAACATCCCAAATCCTTCCATTTGACAGAGGTCTGCACAAATACAACCTCTCAATTCCAATGGATAGACGAAAGGTATGTGTAGATCTCACCCACCACATTCCCTACTTCTGAGTGGGTTATACACTTTTATGATATATTTGATGCCTTTATATTTGAGATTAGGTTACCATTATACGCTTCAAAATGAATTTGTAACCCGAGGTGTTAGTATCACAATCATCACAATCATCAGAAAACAATGAAACTTTGGCAGTTTCTGAGGTCTGGTTGGCATGAGAACAGTTCCATTGAAAAGCCATCCATACTTCTCCATATGATCCGCGTCCAAATCTTTTTTTCAGTATGTACCTGAAAATAATAATTTGCCAAAATAAATGCATCACCTTAATCCCAACTGCCTAGGTTTGGTGGGATGAAATTTCTGGTTTCAACTAGTGGTCTAAAATTAGTTACCACTATAAATTCATGCCAAAAAAAGGTGGCAAAGTTCCTGCGCAAACTTATCACACAGGAATACATTTACAAAACACTAATTTAAACTATGTGTATTTGAATAAAAAAGGATCAGAATACTTGAGAATAGACTAGATGAAATGGCTAAAGATGAAGTCGAGTGCGAAAAATGAGAAAAATAATGCAAGTCATTAGGACCCTAATAACATAACTCCATCTGAGCAGGCTGCTTGTCCTAAACCAACTCCATCAAGGGGTACAAACAATTACGGCCAAAGTAAAAAATGGAACCCAGAATGAACTCTCAATCGAAGATAGCACTAGAGCATGAATATGATGTCCATGTGTACAAGCTGATAAGTTTTTCACATAAAATGTTTGTACAGTATATGCCGATATTGCAAAGAAGCATGTCGTAGTCTTTGATAAATTAGGCAAGAATGCAATTTCTCATATAATATGTTATATGTCTGTAACCTAAAAAAATGTTATATGTCTGTATATAAAATTGGCAAAAGTGTAACAAAAAGGACAGAAAGTATAGTAAAGTACAGCACCTTGAATCTATCCCTGCATGCTCATTTGGAAATGTATCATTGAATGGGATTGATTCAAGCATGCCCAGGAACCTAGCAAAACCTTCAGGATTTATGCACCGATCATTATTCCCGCCAAAGTTCATCCCAAAGTTTAAACACAAATGATGATCATTATACAGATTCAGTGAAGCTCCTTCGGCAAAAAAAGAAAAGGGAAAAAGAAAGAGTAATTAGATATATTCGCTGAAGCAGGCAGACATACTTAGTACACGTACTTACGAGTCGCCAACAGTAGACCCCAAAACTTGGTATCTACCCTATACTCCTACAGAGCAATAGATGGAAATAAAAGAAAGTTGGGGTCTGAAAAGTGTGTGTGTGTGTGAATGTGTGTGTGTGACATGTGAATGTCAACAGATTAGCAGAATAAGAGATTGGAATTGGAGCCACACAGAGTCCATTTATTTCATTAGTCCTCATGCTATTCTACCATTTTTAGTTGCAGCAGATAAAAAGCACAAAAACTAGTTTAACTAATCTACCAATTTAACCTTCTGGCGGTCTTGCCCAAACTATTTCTTCCAGATCCAGATCAACACCGATTGCTTACCAGTGCTGTCACCAGACCTTTCAGGCAGTGCATGCTCTAGTCCATATGGATATTCCGAGATATCTTTTTGAATCCAGAATGTGTTGTCATCATATTCATCAAGGTTCTCAGATAGATAGAAACACATTTCTTTTCCTACGACCTAATACAAGAATGAAACGGACCATTTTCAGAACCATAAATGTCAATTGTCATGTGATAAACATGATATGTAAATTATAAAAGCAAACCAAGTAGGATTGTACTACTAAAAGAATGGCTTCATAATAATCAAAAAAATGATACTATAAATGATAAAGAGAGGAATATAATGTCCCGACACGCACAAAGTCCGGAGAAGCAAAGATGATCAAATAGATCCAAACTATGAAATAGAGAACTTCATAGTAACCCAAAAAGACCACCTCTAGAGTCCGGAAAAGAGTTCTCGAACAGCTTGGGTGCAACGTTGTCAGTAGTAATTATAGTCTATAGAGCATGACTTATGGGGAGAAGATGCAACATACATAATACATGTAATGATGTAACTCCGCCTATCAAAGTGTCACAGGTTCCTCCAATAAAGAAGATATTATTCTATAGATTAATCGTTAATGTATGGGCCCAAGCATGCAGCCTAGTATAATAACAGGCTAAAAAATAAAATAAAATGTAAATGTGCATGTTTTACCAATAATCTGTCAAGGTTGGTAGCAGCAGGATAAGCATGCTTCATTTCTACAAGTTCTGATACTCAAATTAAAAGAAAGAGCATTATCAGCCGCCAGTGCTGAAACTTGAAGCATTTCTAAGAAGTAAGACAACTAAAGAGAGAGCAAATATATAGGTATGAAGTGCAGCACCCCAAACCACAATAAGAAATGAAAAAATAAAATTAACCTCAGTTGTGCACTCGTACAAAAGTTTTGCACATAGAAGACCCGTGCTCAAATTAGATACAGATAAATGATAACTAAGCCTTCAAAGTAGGCAAATAATGCAATTGGCATCCCCAAACAAAAACAGTTTCAATCAAGTTTCTTAACTAGGTGAAAAGTTCAAATGCAAATTTAACAGAATATTAACAGACAATGACTGGACTTCCACATAAAATTTTCATTTTCCTGTTCGGCTTATGTGGGAATGCAATCATTCTTAAATTTTCAATTTTTCAAAACTAATTGGATCTCTCCTTATCTGGTGAGATGAAGTTGGATAGATTGCTCTTACTTTAAATGATGGCTTCCAGCTCAAAGCAATGGTAACCTGAAGGAAATAAAAGCCACACCGTGGCTACAGCTGGCTTCCCATTTTTTTTCTATGATTGGACTTCCACAAAAGCCAAAAACATTAATAATAACACATGTCACAGTTAACCTGAAGTAAACCTAATAACACCACCCCTAATTCATCTTTTTTCTCAGTTCATCTACTTTATTGGAGTTTTTAAAATTCAGCATGTCAATTCCACTGTCACACCAACTTCAAGTATTTAACAGACTTTTATCCTAATTAGAATACAAGTAGTTTGATTGGAGAATGTTTGCAATTCCCAAGTTAAAACATGCTCCTTGTGTTTGTGAAGAGTGCCTGCATAGAAGTATAGGACACTTCATCAAGTGAGTCTAAATCTCTTAGGTAGTCTAAGAGTCACTTGAGTGAACAAAAAGGTTTGTTATCTACCTATATATAGTTGCTATATATCCATGAAGGATGTATGTTTAAGAAATAAAATCTCCAAAAAATTCTCTTGTTAATCTACAAAAGCAGTAACCGTAACACTAAAAAAAGAAATCATTAATAGGATGGCATGTACTTTTAGCTTTTCCCATCAAAGCTTGTACGCAGTCCAGCATAAATACCTTTCCATGAACTCAAAAAAGCGTGGCGAATCCCGCCTTGAGGCGTGCCTCATGGCAGTTTCTGGAAAATTGTGCAAGTGAACACCATCATCACCTGTAAGTGCTCGATGTTTTGCTAATTGTTTTGTCGACTCCCTCGGTCCCTCCAGAGCAAAATCTGCCTTGCTTTATCTCCGTTATTTTTAACTTTTTTTTGGAAAAACATTTATGGTCGATTTTTTTTGCGTGTAAGTGCTCGATTGTTTTTTTTGCATGTAAGTGCTCAATTGATTTCTTTTTTTGCATGTAAGTGCTTGATTGGTTTCTTTTTTGGGGAGAAAAGTTCATGCCTTGTCGACTGTTCGCTGTTTTTTGGAAAAAGGTTTATGCCGTTGTAGTCAACTATTTGCTTATTGCATATTTGCATTTTTGTAAGTTTATTATTTGCATTTATGGATTCTATTTTAAATATGTAATATCCACATTTTTAACTTCAAGTTGAAACTTACGCCTCACTACGCCTTGAGGCTTACACCTTGTCAAAAAAAATGCCTCAAAACCGCAATACGTAATTTCGAACATTGCATGAACTTATTAGTATCTTAGATATTAGAATTAGGGAAGTGGACATTGTCAATCTAAAAAATGACTAATGTCACTCCATTCTCTCTAAAACAGTTCATTATACTCTGTATTACGTAAAATACATTTTGGGAGCCACAATAGTAAGTTTTGGAGTCGCAATATTAAGATGTTAGTTATAAGCTCCAAAATATCTTCAAACCTAGATGCTAGAGTACATAAAAGCAAAATCATCTAAGATGCATTAGAAATATCATTGGTGCATTTGTCAATGTCACTGCATAATGTCCAATTAGAAGCATAAAATCTTCTCCCAGTCTACTGTCTCCCATGTTCAGGCCTAGCTTAAAAATAATCAATATGCTTTATGAAGCAAAAAATGGTGCAACTTACGCGACTGTGCGATGGAATAATCCTCTTGTCCTGAAGCTGGGCAATCAGATATACCCAATCCATCACAATTCACATCAGGAAGAGTATTCAAAGGCGCTTTCGACTTAAATGGAAGTATTATAGCTGCCATATTATCAGTACTTCCCTTTTCAAAAGCAGCTTTTACTATGCACTCTGCTAAGGAATACATGCAAGAAGAATTTAGTTCAGGCCTAACAATGATATCTGCATCTAAGCTCGATAATATGTCACAGACATCCTGTGGGCTTAGCTGTTCAAAAACACCATCAGATGCAGCCACCAAATAGCTGTTGTTTTCTGCCAAAGGTTGCCAATCAGTGATCTCAGGAACAGATATAACACCATAACTGACAAGACCAAAGAAAATCAAAAGAATGATTAGTTACTTCTTAAGATAGAGATACTATTTAAATGAAGTTACACTTTTAATAATTATTTTAACTTTCAAATTTCAAAAAGGCATGTTTCCATCATCTCCGATGGAGCCAAAATTTCACCATTTTTTGGCTTTGGGGTGTGATGGAATAAATCAAAATGGATCTCTAAACTGTCTGCGCTTCTTTAATTAATGAAGTAGCAGTTAGTCAAGCAATGCAACTTCCGACGTTGAGCCGGGGGTCTCTTTGGAAACAGTCTCTCTACTTTCAAGTAGGGGCAAGGTCTGCGTACACACACCCTCCCCAGACCCTACTCTTGTGGGATTTAACTGGGTTGTTGTTGTTGTTTCAAAAAGGCAGACGAAAGTCAATAAAAACAAAGAGAAACATCACTACAATAACTGGTACACACAAATCAAGCCCACCTTTAAAGTTATAAGGAAAAATAGACCTAGAGTAAGAAATATTGAGCATAAAATCATAAATACCTATATGTGCAAACAGAGCCCTAAAGAGCTTTACCTTTTCAGGTATATGTCCCCAATGGATCTAGAAACAGCCAACTGACCATTAACCCGAGCAACACCACCCCATTCAGAGACACTTCCCCCAGCAGACTCCACTCGAGACCGTTCATCATCCCTATCTGGGTGGTGATCTCGAGTCAACTCCTTAGCAGAAAATGGTGACCATCGATCTGAAACTTCTGATTCAAATGTGCGATAATTTCTGAATGGTTGAAAAATCCCATCCATTCGTGTCTGCCTATACATTCTCAATAACGCAGCTGCAAATTAAGAGTTCATTCAAGTAAGTACTCGGTGCAATCTACTCTTTATACTATCCCATAATAATAGATGAATAGGGATCGTTAGGAACCAAGAAACGTGTTTATATGAAGGCAAGTAATATTAAAGTAATCATCTTGTTTATACGGAAGCAATCATTTCCTACTCGCTTGTCTAGTGAGCTCATACCTCGAGCCTCTTTAACACTTTTACTCTCCTCAGAGCACAAAAATGCCTTGGAATCGCCAATGTTGGCCACAAAAATCTGATTTTCTGCCAAAAGTACAATTGTGGCAGTAGATCCAGAATCAAAATTGTTTCTAAAAGCATCCTTCAGAGAAAAAGTAAACATCAGGGAAAAGCAGCAGCAGAACATTAATAAAGTCACTAGTCCACTAAAAACCATTAAAGACTCACCATTGAAAATGATGCATCAATGTCATTAATTGCTCTTAGCACTGCCTCTTTGAGTATTTGTAATGGAAAAGATTCATCAAAGACTGATGACAAACTCAGCTTAAACCTATAAGAATAAGAAGGGTTCAATATAAATCCCAGGCACTCTTAGATTTCAAAGTAGAGATCAGATTTCAAAAAATGCTTGAATTTACAGTAACAAACACTGAATTCGCTTTCAGTCAATTCCAATGCCAGAATAACTCTCAAACTATAAAAAAAAGTAACTGAACAAAGTGGGAGAGAGAATGCACTACCGCCCAAATTTGAGATGATGATGATCCAATTCCTCATCCCACTTCAGGTCTTGAAGTACATTATTTCTCCTTCCGTTCGGCAGCCATCCCCTTAACTTCCTCAATAGGAGAGAATAGGTTGTATCGAGTAGAAAGAAGGTGTGCACTGTAAAGTACTCGAGCAACAACTTTGATGCCATCTCACTTGCTTCAGCACCCTTATGGCCATCAAATATTCCAATAATACCAACTGTGACCTCAGTGATGCCATTTGGGCCTGCCACAATTAAGGAAACATGCCATTTCAAATCCTGGCAAATACTAGGGTTACACCAGCTTATATTTCCCGATTCGAATTCCAAAATCAAATCGTGGCAAATACTAGGGTTACACCAGCTTATATTTGAATACCATGCAGAAACCAGCAAGTCATACAAAGTATAAAGATGATATATTTTACCGAGGAAAGGAACGCGAATGTCTAGAGCGCAGATGGCGCGATCTTCCAGCTGCTGGCGGCGCCCTTGATGCAAGGCCACGTGACAGCCGGATTTGGGCGATGGATGATGCCTTGATTCGGAGCCCTGATTCGAGAGTTTCCAGCGAGGGCACTTTGGGGACAGAAACACCGCCGGCGCGCCGCCTTCTTCGTACACCGTCAGGCATGTCGAAGATTCTCCGTCTGTGAGTGTTGCGACGGAGAAGATAAACAACAACCACATGAATACGAGCCTTGAACGGCAGGAACTCATACTGAAATCGCCGGATCAAAGAAGGAACGGAAACCCCCGCTATTAATTTTGAAACTGTTCCTCTTATTTATAGGGGTCCGGTTTACAGAGGCGCATTGCTTATGTGGCATGGTTTACTTACTTGGCATGGCTTGTGTGGCACTTCTACGAGACCTTATGTGACACGGCCTGCCACCTAATACTCCATATGTATGACAAAGAAAATATGTAAAGAAAATCTTTGAAAGAACTACAAAAAAAAATCTTCGTCCGGTATTTAATTCCTTATTGTTGATGTTAAAAAATGTATAGGCACAATGTTAATTAAGAGTTAAGACAATGATTTACAACTACTGTTCATTTGAATTAAATATCCCGGTAACTTATTGATTTTTTCCTTGTCATATACAGAAAACTTCTTTCATCCCGTAAAAATTTTTTCAATTTAACTTTTAAGCGATTTAAAAGAGATATATTTTGGTATTTCACATCAATGAATAGTTAAGAATAATGGAAAGAAATAATTAAAAAGAACAAAAAAATAAGATGAGATGCATGTGACGAATGAGATGAGTTTGTGAATTTGCAAGTTGCAATTGTGTTCTTCCTAAAGATGATGTAATGTTGGTAACAAACGACAGCAACAACTAGAGCAGATAGATCTGGTGGTGGACACCATGCTAGCTGGACTGTGATATTTGGAACAATATCGCGGTGTTGATTGGATGTGGCTTATAAGTTTGGTTCAGATCCTATTCATGTAGCTCTATGACTCTTAGAGTCTTATGTGACCTAGTGTTGAAGTTACCATTTAGGGACTGTTTGGCAACTTCTGAATAGGTAAGTGCTGAATCAGTAAGAGGTCTGAACCATTAAGTGCTGAACCAGTAAGAGGTCTGAACCATTAAGAGCTAGTATATTGCTTAACTATTCTGAGGCAAATGTCTGATCAATTCAGATAAGAGGTCTTAACCATTCAGACTCTGTATAATACTTAACCATTCAGAGGTAAATGTCTGAACCATTCAGACATCTGAACCATTAAGAGGCTGAAACAAACAGTCTGAACCATTAAGTGTTGAACCATTCAGACATCTGAGCCATTAAGAGGCTGAAACAAACAGCCCCTTACTCTGTTTTAAATTTTATGTGTAACACCCCAACTAGCATCATTTGAACCAACGAGTTAGCGAACCGAATTGCTACCAAATTGGCACCTAAACATAATATTCAAAGCAATTTAAAATATTTAATTCAAAAAAATATTTAAATATCCATCGAAGTATTATAAAACGGTGCGGAAGCTTCTAATAATTATTTCAAAATCCAACTTGGGTTCTTGCCCTTAAAACATAATAAATTCAAATGCAATATTAAATAATTAAATTTTTTCAGCTAGCATCCATCCATCTCTTCGCCCTCGCTGCCCTCCAGAACTATTTCCTTAATCGTCACTCATGTTACCTACGCGTAGCAAATAGCTAGGAAAAGGGCTACAAGCTCAGCATTGAAGCTAACTGAGAAATATCTAACATTTCAACTATGCACATAGACGAAACAACTAACTCATAACTTCATACGTACAATATCATGCACACAAGTACAATAGTAATTCGTACTCCCTCCGTCCCAAATTATAATGCATGTTTACTATTCACAGGGTCAAACTTCATTCACTTTCTTTTTATATTTTCGTTAGCAATTTGATAAAATAAAATATTATTGTCACTACTAGTTTTGTAGATCTTTTGATGTAGTTTTTTAATATGTAATTCTTATTTTTTAATTCTATACCATTTGTCATATAAAATGGTTTGAAAATAATTCCAGTCAAACATCGTAAACCGAAACAGGCGTTATAAAATGGGACGGAGGTAGTAACATTTATCAAATAACAACAACTACGTTATAACAATTATATTTCAGATCACTTACCTTGATTCTTCACCTGCACATTTTATTATCACAATATTCAAGTTATGGGTGTTCAATCGATCCGATCTAAAAATTCAAATATCCAAAAATTTCGGATGATGTAAAAGTCATTCCATATAAAACTTTGAATATTGTTCCATGTGAGACCATAATTTTGGGGTGAAGGAGCTGTATAAATTAGTTGTGAAAATGCATTATGGACTCAGCCAAAAAAATAGGGCCGGATGCGATAGACAATGGGTCTGTTTAGGAATAGCATCAGAGATTAACGTTAGTGTTTTGGATAAAATTTTAACGGTGCAGATTACACTGAAAATGCTAACGTTAAACACTGCTCGTAGATAACTTTTTCAAAATGTTAACACTAATCTCTAACGTTATTCCCAAACAGGCACCAATGCATGGAATTGAATTAGCATTTCCAAATCTAGAAGATTACGTACATGATTAACACAAGCCGTGCATGATTAACCCATGATTAATAATGTAGGTTTATTTCATGCAACCCTATAATCCTATATGTATGCACTCTCAATATAATTACAAGTAATAATCAGGAAAAAGACAAGGGATCAACGAGACCCTACTAAGCTAAGCCCAGCCCCTTTATAGTACGAGCACAAAGCTGATAATAGGGTGCATGCATTATGCCTATTTAGCAATTATGCTCTTTTTTTAAAATAAAAAATTAAACACACCCTATCTTTTCCATTATATTTATCCCGTATAATTTAAGTTCGCACTTATCTTGTTTAAATTTGTCTACAAATTTCAGAAAAATATGGTTGCATGGTCGTTTAAAATTATGCAATGCCATAAAATAAGCCTCAAATATTACTTCGCATTTCCCTACATCATTATGTACTGGACTTTTTATTTAATTGACGATCAAAATTTGTCTTGCAAAATTTGGGAGGCTAGTTTGCACCAACAATTTGTCTTGCAAAAAAAGCCTCAAATAAATATTACTTTGCATTTCCCTACATCGTTATGTACTGGATTTTTTATTTAATTGACGATCAAAATTTATTTAATTCGATTGTAAAAAATAAATTAGACAAATAGAATGAGACGAAAATACGGGTATAAGATGAAATATTAAAAGAATATTTATAAGGTTATTTTTTTGTAAGGTACCATATTCAAAAGGTGGTTATTAATTGCAAAATTTTCTTAAACAAAATGTATAGCGTAGGGTGCCAATAGTTTTGCGGAGTATTACTATTCCGTATATTAAAATAGAAATGTATCTAAATATGACTAAAACATAATGATTTTTTTAATATAGGATCATATGTTTTTATTTCCTAATGTAGGACTTTTGGTCATTATCAATTCGTCATTGTTCAAGTAAATGTCCATCATTATTGGACATTATTTCTCCCACTAGGCATTATTAAATCCTATCTAGGGAATAAAAAAGTTTAAGTACTACATTGGAAAATGACTTATGTTTTAGTTCTATTTAGTGCAAATTTCACATATTAAAAAGCCCGTTGGGCAACAATGTTAGGGTTTAGTGTTAGTATTTGAAAAAAAGCAAGATATCCAACAGTCGTATTTAGGTTTAGTATTTTTAAAATTAATCTACTTCTTTAAAATATTGCCTAAAATACTAACGTTTATTTAAAAAGTTATTTCTAAAGAGAGTACAAACTCAACCGGGACAATTGTTTTCAAAGTTCAAACTATTACCTGTCTGAATAAATTCAGGTTAGGTTGTCATGACGCATTGTCCATAATAATCCTTAATTATAGCAATAACAATTGTGGCAGTGAGATTATGGTAATTTTATTTAATTTAACCAAAGTTTACATAAGATAAAATTAAACGTCGTAAATACTCCCTCCGTCCAAAAAAGAGTGTTTCTTTGAGACACTTTGGGTGCATATCATTTTTATAGACCTTCTCGCATAAAAAAATTATTTAATTTTTATTTAAAATATAAATGTTTATTTAAGTAGTAAAGAAATGCTTATTTTATTTGCTCATATGTAGGTCCATGGTGGACCTTAGGTTCACCATAAGATTTTCTCAAAAAAATTATACTCTTTACTATTCAAAAGTCACGAGAATTTTTATTTTTGTGTGTGTTTTGATTGATTGTTTGATAAAATAAAATATTCTTGTCACATCTTGTTTAATAGAACTTTTGACGTAGTTTTAAAATATGTAAGTTTTATTTTTAATTTTTATATTAATCTTTAAATAAAATGAATTCAAAAAATTAAAGTTTCTTTCGTTTTACGTAAAGTGTAAAACAATTTCGGACGGAGGGAGTACGTAACCAATTGTAGATTTATGTGAAGTAGAAAAATATGGGGCCAAAAGAATACTACTCCCTCCGTTCTTGAAAACACTTCCGTCTTAATTTTTGCACCCTGACCCATAAAATGGTTTTACTCTATTTAAAATGTCTAAAATACCTACAAAACAACTTCTAGTCAAAACAAATTACAAAATGAGATGTATTTTAGACATTTTAAATGAAAATAAAAATATTTTATGGAGTGTACAAAAAATTAGGGCGAAAGTATTTTCACGGATGGAGTATAGAAATTAGAATGCGTCAAAGTATGATTCTCATTTATTATTTAATTACTCGGTATATTACTATTTCACTATGTTTATGCACTTATGTTGTTAGGAATAAAATCTGAATTAATAAAGTTGAATCTTAATTTGGTGGCACCGGCCTCTGTCTAAGAGGTTGGCCCCCCATGGAACTAACGTGACACAAGTGTCATTTTCATCACTCCATTCCTTTTCTCTTTTCAACTCGACAGTAAATTCCATATGTTAATAAGTTGCCCCCCTCATCATATATCATCATCACCACCTTTTATTTTACAAATTAAAGTTTGCTTATTTGATTTTAGGGTTCTACCATTTCATTATGGAGCATTTAATTTCTCTCAAAATAATTTTCTTTTTTTATTTAATTTTTTTTTGTAAAATAAAATTCACATTTTTTTAAAAAAAAGGCATTGAGTGATGAGTATAGGATATAGATTATCGATGATTCGTAATATTCTCCCCACTTCTTCTGCATAAATTATAACATGGAAGAGAGAGAGTATTATTTATTTGAAAAATGCATTGCCTAATAATAAAGAATAATTAATTCAAAAATGGTTTTTTTTGGATTTGTCTTGCTTAGAACGG